AAAAAAAAAAAAAAAAACAGCCTTGTGAAGTAAACTCTTATCTAGTTATGGTTTGGTATTGAGGAATTTGGTGATTTCATCATACTTGTATACGGTGAAAATCTTGCAGAAAAAGGACCAACCCGTAGCCTTTAGATATTGTTTGATTATAAATACAAGTAATAACCTTGCGCATACATTTGGATTATAACTAGAAATGCCGAAAATTTGTGAATCAAAGTAGCAGTATTGTGAATATTCATGCACGAGAAACAACAGATTGATATTTGTTAATGAATAGAATATAGGAAAGGAAACTTACCGATATATTTTAACGAATAGATTAAGGACGACCAACCACTCAAGCGACGTCCACTTCCGAAACCACCCGGATCACTAGCCATCTGCTGTAAAGGACTGATATCTCCTTCCCATGCCAGATTCTTGTTGTAATGGAGTAAATCAAGAGCCAACTCTAAAATTTCAGCAGAAAATTTTTATCTCAGATTTTTCAAGATTATTAAATCCTCCCATGCATGCATTTTTACATTTTACTTGAGCTAAAGAAGTTGGAAGTACTGAAATTGCTCTCACCATAAAATCCAGCTTTTACTAAAGATTGCATAACACTCGCACCGGCTGCATCTTTGAGTTGAGCTGAATTTCTTTCCTCTTTCATGACTCCTAACAAGTAAGAAGCCATGAAGTAAGCATTTGCTAGATCTCGACGACTCAGTGCTATTTGAATCGGCAAAAGTCCATCTTTGTTGAAAATATTCACCAAACTTTCATTGTTTCCCACAAGCTTTCTGGCATCTCGAACAACTCCAACATTTGCTGCTATGTGAAGCGCTGTATTCCCAAAGTTGTCTGTCTCAGCCAGTAAATCTGAATCTGAACTCATCATATCCACCAGATTTTTGGTTACGGATAACCCTTTTTTTCCTCCCTTGAAGGCCAAGAGGAGCAGTGTATCTCCATTGTCATTTAGCTTAGCTTTCAATGGTTCAGTTGGATTCTTGCGGATGATTCCTTCGATAGTCTCCCACTTGCCTTTTTTTAATTCTTCCTTCAGCTCTTTTATCCAGCGTTCATGATCATACTCATCAACTGCTTTCATACAAAGAATTAAAAGAAAATGTGTGCTCATTTTATTCTCAAAAGTCAATCAATCAAAACAATAAGTTTCTATTGGATTAAAATTAGATATTTAGTAAATTTTAATAAAATTTAGACTAAAAATAAGATAGAAGTACAAAAGAAACACATGACTACATCGTTACTTACTTCTCACCGTGCTTTCATCTGATGATGTCCCCTCCATCTTCTAATCTCCTAACTCTGGGTTCACCGTTACTAACACTCCCTTTTATACACAGGTCACACTAGCATTTTACTCTACTTCATTATCGGTGGCAAATTTACAAATATGTTGGCGAAAACCTAAAGTGTCAATTAATTTGGAACAGGCTTCTTTTTTCTTTTTCCTTTATTCCTTATTCTTTTGAATGATGATTATACTTAAAAAATAATAATAAATAAATAAAATTTGAATATTTAACGTTCAAAACTACATTTTTTTTTTTAAATCAACTAAGAATGACCTAGCACAAATTTTACTTAATTCAACTTGATGTGTGAGAATAATTTTTTATTTTTTTAAAAATTTTTTTTTTTACTCAAGCACTACTTCCGTATTTGTTAACTGAATTAATATAAAATACTATTTGAACCATAATATAGCTTGCATGAAAGTTTGTATTATTTAAGGTGTAATGTCTTT